ACTCGTCCGTGTCAATTTCCCAAACACTCGTCTGTATCTCTTCTCAATACCTGTCCGTATTGATCCAAACACTCGTATGTGTCAGTTTCCTAGACACTCATCTATGTCAGATATTCAAACACTCGTCCGTGTTTAACCTTTCCTTGATACTCGTCCGTATCTTCTTTCAATACTCGTTTGTATTGATTCAAACACTCGTCTGTGTTTAACCTTTCTTGATACTCGTCCGTATATTATTTCAATACTCGTCTATATTAAATCAAACACTCGTCCGTGTTTAACCTTTTGATACTCGTCCGTATCTTCTTTCAATACTCGTCCGTATTGATTCAAACACTCGTCCGTGTTTAACCTTTCTTGATACTAGTCTGTATCTTATTTCAATACTCGTCCGTATTAAATCAAACACTCGTCCGTGTTTAACCTTTTGATACTCGTCCGTATCTTCTTTCAATACTTGTCCGTATTGATTCAAACATTCGTCCATGTTTAACCTTTCTTGATACTAGTCTGTATCTTATTTCAATACTCGTCCGTATTAAATCAAACACTCGTCCGTGTTTAACCTTTTGATACTCGTCCGTATCTTCTTTCAATACTCGTCCGTATTGATTTAAACACTTGTCTGTGTTTAACCTTTTGATACTCGTTCTTATCTTCTTTCAATACTCGTTTATATTGAATCAAACACTTGTCTGTATTTAACCTTTTGATACTCGTCCGTATCTTCTTTCAATACTCGTCCGTATTGATTCAAACACTCATCTGTGTTTAACCTTTTGATGCTCGTCCGTATCTTCTTTCAATACTCGTCTGTATCGGTTTCCAACACTCGTTCGTGTTTAACCTTTTGATACTCGTCTGTATCTTTCTTCAATACTCGTTCGTATTGATTTAAACACTCGTCCGTGTTTAACCTTTCGTGATACTTGTCCGTATCTTCCTTTTGATACTCGTTCGTATCTTCTTTCAATACTCGTCCGTATTGATTCAAAAACTCACCCGTGTTTAACCTTTTGATACTCGTCCGTATCTTCTTTCAATACTCGTTCGTATTGATTCAAACACTCGTCCGTGTTTAACCTTTTGATACTTGTCCGTATCTCCTTTCAATACTCACCCTTATTAATTCAAACACTCGTCCGTGTTTGACCTTTCTTCGGTACTCGTCCGTATCGATTCAAACACTCGTCTATGTTATACCTCCCTTGTATTGGCATTACGCTATGTTACAAGTTCGATCTCTTGTATTGGCATCACGCTACGTTACAAGTTCGATCTCTTCCTTGTATTGGCATCACGCCACGTTACAAGTCTTCTCTGTCCTTGTGTTTGCATCATACTACCTCCCTTTTTATCATCGTGTCCCGATCGATGTATTCCTAATAGCCGTTGTGTCCTGATCGATGTCTTCCTTTTGGTTATCGTGTCCTGATCGATACCTCTCCTCGAACCACCGTGTCCTGATCGATGTCTTCCTTTTTGTTATCATGTCGTGACCAATACCGCCACCTTCTTAGAACCTGAGATCGCCTCTAGGCTAGGTTCTTCCTCAGATCATTTTTGAACCTGAGATCGCCTCTAGGCTAGGTTCTTCCTCAGATCATCTTAGAACCTGAGATTTCCCGTAGGCTAGGTTCTTCCTCAGATCATCGTAGAACCTGAGATCGCCTGTAGGATAGGTTCTTCCCATAGATCATCGTCAAACTTGAGATCGCTTGTAGGCTAGGTTCTTCCTCATATCATCTTAGAACCTGAGATCGCCCGTAGGCTAGGTTATTCCTCAAATCATCTTAGAACCTGAGATCGCCCGTATGCTAGATTCTTCCTCAGATCATCCTAGAACCTGAGATCGCCCGTAGGCTAGGTTCTTCCTTAGATCATCTTCGAAACTGAGATCGCCTCTTGGCTAGGTTCTTCCTTAGATCATCGTCGAACCTAAGATCGCCTCTTGGCTAGGTTTTTCCTTAGATCATCGTCAAACCTAAGATCGCCTTTAGGCTAGGTTCTCTGTCAAATCACTCTCATGTTTCACCTTAGGATCGTAGGTCGCCCGTAGACCTTGTCCATTATCTTTTCGTACCAACCTTTGTCTTGTATTGGCATCACGCCACGTTACAAGTGCAACCTTCGTTTTTTTTCACTAAAAAAAACAAAAATTCTAGCTGATACCACAAAAATAAATAAACACTCATGCTTTCTCCCAGAACAAATTTTTGGCATTGGTATTTAATCATCTTCAACCTTTAACTTCCGAAAGGCACGCACCAATCATACTTTCAGGTTCAAGACGATTAAATATGGGCAACTATAATACCCCAAATTTGTCCTACCCTTTTACTTTTATCTGGCTTATGCATCTCGCAGTTTTCTCATGTACACAACCTTCATTAGGTCATCTAACGCATCATGCCTCATTAGTCAATAAATTTAGCACGGGATCAATGATACTAAAGAATTAGGGTTTCTGTATGGCTTTAAGGCTCTTATCTTCGCACAAGCTTATTTCATTTGATTTCTCCATCAATCATTCGTTTGAAGCTAGGGTTTTATTTCCTGGATTTCATTATCATCAAGCTACAGGGATATTCTTTTTTCTCAACATCAAGTTGCAATCTTTCTTCAAGGGTTAAGAATTAGGGTTTTCGTTTGACTTCAACTAAGGATCATTGGATTAGGGCCCGATCTTATGGTTATCTTGAGGCTCTCCTTATCCAACATCGTGTATTTGTTTTTTCTCATCAAATGCTTGCCACTTCAATTGCAAGTCATCCTAAGGCTACCTCCAAAGGCTACAAGTTCAAGCAATGAAGGCCATCGTCTTGCACCTATCATCTCCATATGAATGATAATTTATTTCCCTAATCACGTGGACTTTAAGAGGGGTTCCATGTGTATTTGTTCATCAATAAATTTCAAAGGGGTTCTATCATTACTTGAAGTGTGAGTTGTTGAAGATTTTTGGTGTATCCATAGCCATTAGGGTCTTATTCAGGGATGTTTCACTATGTCATACAAAGAGGTTATCATATAATAAAATCTTGTCCTTTACAAGTTAGTATTTCAAATGGTCCTTTCTTCATCTAATAAGGTTTAGATGTTACTTGAATCTCAAGGCATATGCTCACGAGCTCTAGGCAAGAGGATTCAATGGGGTACTCTTTGCAAATTGGAGTTTGTACAATTTATGATGCAAAGCTCTTCATCAGACCAATTGGTTCACTTGTGACACAATATACTTTGGGGACTTCATTTCAAATCAAAATCTAAAGTTTCTTCAATTGTGGTTTTGAAGTGAGGATTAAGAAAGATGCAAGGCTCGTTCATTCATTTGAAGAGATTTAGACATGTTTTCATTCAAAAGAAAAGAAACTCAACACTAAAAATTCATTCTTGGCAAAGGCTCTTATTAAATTCATGTCATAGCCATGGGGTTATATGTAACACAGAATTAAAATACCTTGGAGATACAAAAGACAAGTTGGAAGAGAAGATTACTTGGAGTATTTGGGCTTCATCATTAAAATTCAGGAGTTTACAAGAAGCTTACATTACCAATATCATTGTAATACCATTACAAGGTTAATCGTGCTACATTGATATCACAACATCAGATGAAAACGCTTTGAATACTTGAAAAAATTATAAGTGAATCTACAAAGCATTACACGGAAAAATCTTCATGATTACCGTTACATTTTTTGGACTTTTGACAAAAGAAAGAGACTTTACAAATTAAGTCTATGCCTAAGTTTTTAAGTTCCTAAGTTACATGAACAAGCTTCAATATTCACCGACTTTATGCAACCATGACCATGCTCCATTATGACTTCATATTTTCCCCCTCTTGATTCGAGCATTTGACACAAATAGCTTGTTGTACCAAGGTAGCCCTGCACACAAAACCATCCAAGACAGCCCTGCAAAAACAATCCAAATCGATTATAACCGGCCAGCTCATTCAAATAAAAGGCAAAATCAATTTAACAAAAACCCGCATAAACCAGTATAAAACCAGTTGAAATTTCCAACAGAAAACGGAAACTCCTAACAGAATTCCCTAACTGCTCTAACTGTTAACATAACTTTTTCCAACTTCTAACCAGCCTAACCATAATCTCCAACAGCCTCTAACAAAAACTCATAACAGTTTCCTAACTTCCTGTAACAGCCCTGCATAACTTCTTTCCAACTAACCTCTTTCCTAACCAATTACATAACCACCAAAACTGTCCCATAACTATTTCAGAACCCCCTAACCAACTAACTGTAAAAAAAAAAAAACAGAATCATAACAGAAATATAACTAACTTCTATAACAAACTCACAACAGAAAAACAAATTCTCTCCAACTATCCTCTAGCCTATTCTGTAACAAACTTCTAACAAAAGAAAAGCAAAAAAATAGATAACAGAAAAGGGAAGAGGGGGGTATGATTCATATACCAGAAAAGTCAGAGGAAAACTCACCAATAAAAAGATCTCTGCACTCCTCTTCATTCTCTCTACCTGTCAGCATCTTAGTTTAACCTTCATTTATTCATCATCAATCTTCTAACAGAACTTGAAATCCTCATCTCTACAGATTCATAATAATACAAAATCATTATCCATTCACAATTACTCACAAAGAAATCAGAGAAAAAAACTCACAAGAACCTAACAGAAACAGATCCACACGATGGATTCTATGGAGATTTATTAAAAGAAACTTCTGAAAATAAACTCACCATTTTTCTGAATCTTTTTCCTCTCTGACTTCACGTTCCTCCTTTCAATCTGCATCTTCGGCTGCTTCAAGGCTTCATCATTGTTTCATATCTTCATCGCCATTAGTTCTCTACAACAACTTCAACCGTATTTACCGGCAATTGGTAGACGCAACATAGCTGTAATTGTCACCATCTCCTTCATTCAAATCTCAGCATTCACAGCATCGATAACAACGCCAACGAATCAATTCTTCTCTTCATCGCAACAAATACAACATAACCAACAGTTCAGAAATGCAGGAAAGTGCAGAATCGAAACAAAAAAGAAGAGATCGAGGAAAATACAGAAGGAGCGAGAAGAAGAAGAAAACGACGAAGAAAGAAAATAGTGAGAGATGTCCATACTTCGAGTTGTGCACCTTCAGATTTCTTGAGCTTCGTCGCAGGTGAAGAACCGCCCGAGTGTCTCCGACACGTAAATATCGGAAGCATCTCCGTCTCTATCTTTTCCTCATTTTTTGATGCTATGTTATTCCCTAATATTTTCTGAACCGTAACCCCATACATATTGCTTGAAATTAAACTTTGTTCATCGTTTAAATTGAAGATTAAGCCATTAGGTTTTGTTAATTCGATGTCAGATTTAGTTGTGGCTATGAGAAATCAACAAAATCTAATGCTAAGGCGTGAAAGAGAGGAAGAAGAGGTTGAGATTTGCGGTGGTTTGGTGTAGTTTAGGCTCTCTCCGCCGTCGGATGAGCTCTCCCCGGAGATCGCCCATGCGAGAGAGAAATAACATGAGGAGAACGACTGAATTGATGAGTGATCTGAAACGTCATAATTGGTTTAGAACGCAATGTTTCAATTGTTTTCTCAAATATTCTTTTAATTTCATTTTTTATATTTGCTTTTAATCAAATGACATAGAAATCTGAGTTGGGTTGGATTTGTGGACTGAATGCATAATTCGTTGGGCCATTCCTACATTTTTGGACATACTGAATGCTATTATGAACAAAAACACTCATTTTGGACCGTGAACAAAAAAAAGGTACTCCTGGATCTCCTTATAGATGGGCCTTAGCGCCTAGATCTGTGCACTTGTCTGCACCTCTGATTTTTCTAATATCATTTAGATTTTAGTTTTTATTCTAGTTTAATTTTTCTTTTAATTAATAATAAAAATGGTACCAAAATATTAGAATATTTTTGAATTCTTTAGGACGTATCTTTAGAATCTTCATTAGAGTTTTCTATTATTTTATGTTTAATAATCATATTCATTGTCATTTTTTAGCTAAAGATTTTATGATAAAATATTGATGTAACTTTCACGATATAGAATTCTTGGAGATTAATTCGTTTGATCACTTATGCGAAGCAGCTTCTGTAGAGTTTTCTTATCGCTTACATGGTTTTGAAGAGACAACCGACCTTCTCCTATAGATTTTCAAGAGGTTGCAAAGTATTTAAGAGCCTAATCTTCACCAAAGAAATTCAAGGAGGCTTCTGTAGAGTTTTCTTATTGCTTGTGTGATTATGAAGAGGCAACGGACCTTCTCCGTTCGGTATCATCTCCACTTTATTTTATTCCTCATTTGCGCATTCTATCATACTTCTTTACCGCTTTTCTGGATACCATGAGAAGTAGGAAATAAAGAGCGTGCGCTCGAAGTCGTTGTTTAAAGACCTGTAGCAGGCATTCCACACTTCATTTGCTATATGTGTTGTGCTTATGTTTGTTTACTTTCCTGTTGATCGATGAGCCACTCAATTTAGAAATTGAGATCACGACTTCGCTCTCAGTGCATGCTCCCTATAGGATCTTATTGCTTTCCTTTATTTCTTGTTGATCGATGAGTCACTCAATTTAGAAATTGAGATCACGACATCGCTCTCATTGCATGTTCCCTATAGGATAGTTGGTTAGACTTTCTTTGGCATGCTAACTTATATAGGATCTCTCTAGGTACGCTTTCTTGAGTACTGGCTTGCTTGCTTTATCCTTGTACATACCATGTTCCCTTAGGATGCGTTTGCTCCGTTCGGACGCAAGTTAGACCTTAGATCGCAAACCATGCATGCTAACATTAGGTAGACGTTTCCCTTTTTGTTAATCCAAACCTTAGGACCACCATTGTATGATAATATTAGGTTAGAAATAGGCTAGTCTCCCTTAGACTCTTTTCTTTCCCTTTTGCATCCTTGCATCTAAAACTAAAATCTTCTTTTCATAGCAAATCAAAAACATGCTAATCATACTTAAGCCCTTTTTCAAGGTAATAAAACACAAACCAATTCAAACCATTTTGTGCACTCAAGCACCATTTCTGTAAAACCCTTTTCAGGTAAGGACATGATTAATTTACTTCTGTGCCAACGCATAAGTCTCCAAAGGTCGAGCTGCGGCAGAAGGCGGAATTAACTTCGTCCATAAAAAACACAAACAAACAAAAATATATGAGCCGAACTACGGAAGCTCTGATTCTTTTAAAAGGATACATAGACATTGGGATAGGGCCCAAACGAGCATAATTTTATTTTCCCTACATTCTTTTCTCCTTTCTTTTGCATGCATTCCCCCTTTAGTAGTATAGTAAACAGTAAGCATAGATTAAATACACCCATAAGATAGACAACAATATGGATACCATATAGTACTACGGGCGTGTGGGGTGCTAATACCTTCCCCTCGCGTAACAGACTCCCTTACCCGATCTCTCGGTCGCAAGACCGTGACTTCTCCCTTCTCAGATTTTCTCGATGTTTACCTTTCCCTCCATATGGGATAAAAGACGTTTGATGGCGACTTCATTGTTTGATGATTTTCAGCCGGTTGTTTCAACTGGACCGATTATTAAACCGGTGAGAATATTGAGTCACTTGTTTATTGGTCGAATAATTGGATCATTGGTCGAACCACATGACTAAATCGACTTAAATCAAATAACTCGGTTGAATAAACTGGTCTTTATAACAAAAGTATATATTTATTAAATTAGTCGGACCGAAAGCTTCGGTGTCTAAAAAGTATCATGCAACCTGCAAAATTTTAAAATAACATTATTTCACATGTTAATTCTTTAAATTCAAATTCTAAATATAATCATAACTCACAACAAAATAATACAAAATACAAATTTAAATAAATTTTGAATCAAATCTAATTATAAATAAGGGAAGTTTATACCAAATAAAATTTGAATAAAGTCTAACATATTAATTTTTTTAAAAACAAATATAAAGACGACGTAGTTTTTATCTCGAAAAAAACACATGCTTTTGAACCACTAGTTTTTATTTATTTATTTTGGCGGGTTCTCATCGGTTCAATAACATATCCCGTCCAACAATCATATCATATTGATGACCTCTTCAGTTCTCGGCTCGACAGGTCGATTCGATCCAATATTCTCTTCAATTCCCGGTTTGATAGGTCGATTCGGTCCGATTTTTAAAACAACACTAAGTGTCAATGCTAAATTGTTGTTAGTGTCAGATTTTTTTATATATAAAACTTAGCATGTTTTTTTTACTAACATTAATCCAATTTTATAATAGTTGGTTGATAAGCTAATGAATGTTAAAAGGAGTTTTAAACACACGATCTCATAGTATTTCATCATAAAATTTAACATAACCACTAATTGGTTCAACTAGATCTTACAAATATTTATGGTAAATTCTTGTCTTAAGGGTAATTTACTCCTTATGACGTATGTCAATTAAATTTTATCATATAAAGTAAAATTTTAAAATCACATATTAATCTAAAATCTTAAAGAATCAAAATGAAATCAAGAAAATAATATATAACTTATTTTTGAGTAGTAAGATATTGGTATGTCAAGTGTGAATAATAGTTATTACATTGGATGGAAAATAGAACATTAGACTCTTTTTTTAAGTGAGAAAAGTCATTAAGAGTAAATTACCTCTAATTTTACAAGGGATAGCCTAGACCCCACCTTTACTTATTAATATTTAAGAAGAAAAAAACTAGAAAAGGTGCATATCTAATTTACATTTATACTACATTGTATTAAGTCATTTTTATCTATCTGCAAAGTTAACAATACCCACCATAATATGTGAACAAAAAAAAACAACACTCACCACAAAATTAAGCATTCTATGTTAAAAAAAATCTATGAAACACAACACAAAATGAAGGACGAATCTGTAGAGTTTAGGTGGCCGCAAACTGATACTAAGAACATAAAACGCGTGCATGTCAAATATAGAGTTACTGAATCCTGCGACAAATCCGAGGGATGTGTCGTTGAAGCAAAAATAGAGTATATGGCAAGTGTGTGAACGTGTGTGATAATGACGGTGTATCCAGTTTCATTTCACGTGGGTTTGTACACTGTCGCTGTGTCGTTTGGTTCTTTTTTTCTTTGCTACCCTCAATTCTATATTCCACCTAAATTGAGATTACATTCCATTCCATTCACAACCCCCACACTCTTTCTCCACTCCTCTCTCTACCCACCATCTTTTACTTTTTTTTCTTTCTCTTTAGCTTAATTAATAAACAACTTTAATAAGATGGAGTTTATTTTCATGTGCAGGAATATTTTATAATATTTTGTAAGGAAAGACTACATACAATAATTCATTCATGTATTGAAAATACATTTGAGAATTATTTTGTAACTAATCAATTTTATGTGCATGATTCATTGATAAAATTTATGATCATATAATTAAAAGATTTGGTATCTTTATCACTCAAACCACTATGATTTTTTTTTTTTTGTATAAGACTAAGAAAATTAAAACGAATAAAATTAAACACGAAGATATGATGTTCCGCAATGTGTGTTGAAATGATGAGGCAAAAATTTAGAGGGGAAGAGGTGTGAATAAGAAAGATCTAATGACACATTAAACTTGTCTATGAAATCATCATTTTAATTGTCTTCATGGAAGGTGTGGATGATTCACAAGTGGATATTCTTGTATCTTTGATATTTTTAATCAAAACAACATATTTATGATATTTATTGTTAAAAGTCTTCTTAAGGTTGATGCAGAGGAGGAAATTGAAAATGTTGTCACTATATAGTATGATATCACATATTTGTTTTAATGTCTTTTTCAATTTGATATAATTGTTTTAGTTCTTGTATATTTGTAATTTGATTCTATAATAATATGTTTGTATTATATTCGTATTTCATTTGTAGTGTAATCGTTTCATTGTTTACACAAAATATTAATAAATTAATTTGTTTAACTATATTTTTTTACATAGAATATTATATTGTTTACATATAATATTAAAATAAAAATATATAATAAATTTTAAATCTGAATTATAATCATCACTGTCAGTGAAGAATAAATGTTAGATCCCCGTTTCATTGAAATCTTGGAGAAGATCAAAAGTTTGATGTAATATATTCTCTATGACTTTTGCATTAATTTGTTTATGATACAAAACAAAAGGGTTAGATAAATAAAATAAATATTTAGTTATATGATTATTGAAAAACATAAAAGTTGAACACAAATAATTTTTTACTCTTGCAATCGATCATAGAGAACTTTACCAAACTTCT